TACCTCGTGTTCAACCCTGATTGTGCTCGCCTGTGTCTTATTAAGTCTAGCTTGTCTTGTGTATTTAGTCCTCGTCTAAGTCAGTAGTCCCGAGTTCCGTCATTGTATTGTCTGTATTGTCTCGTTGGATGTCCGTGCCTGTCCGTCCCTGAGAATAAACCCCGTTTCCCTAATTCTGGCTGCTATTCGCCTGCTTCCTTGCTCGCCTCCCCGTCTGATGCTGACATACAACCAACTAATATAAATATAATATAATATAAAACTAATTTTTAATTGAGGCATATGTGGATTATGACCTTAGAGTTCAGTGATTTTTAGAGGTTCAAGCGATTTTTATGGTAGGCCTATTTGGCAGCAACATTGCTGTCTAAAAATATTTAGGATTGTGTGCTGATTTTATGGATTCATATTTAAATCTCTTTACCCAATATTCTAAAAAGAATATTGGGTACCACTTTACCCCTTCACCACTTATAAATGGTAGTAATGCATTGAAAAGAAAACTGTGGTATAACTTGTTTATAATTGTCTATTAATGATTTACGAAGTGTTACAACCTAATTTATAACCTGATTATTAACCATTCATGCAAGTTCCACTGGAGCTCACACTGGCCAAAAAAAAAAAAACAAGAGATGCAATTTCCAAGAGATTCTTCTGGCCAGGAATGTCAGCTGACATTGATAAATGGGTGAGTAAATTTCACAAGCTGTGTTCTCTTGCAAGTTTCTCAAATGTGACACGTTCTATTTTTTATTAATATAGATAATAGGTTCACATTTATTCATTCTCCGGTCATCACAAATTAAGATTCAGTAAGGTATCTTTATAAGATACAACTGTATTAAAATGGTTTTAAATGCAATTTTTCATGTTAGTAAATTAGCAAATTGTAGTCATTCTGTGTCAGTTTTAAGAAATGTAGATTTTTGCAGATGTGTTTTTTTCTTTGACAGTAATGGTATAAATCTTTTTAGAGATATGTTATATTTTTTGTCTTTTATTCATTCAGTCTTTAATGCAGAACAGTATATTTGACGAGTGTCAAAGGATTGTGGCAGTTGATTTCAACTATGTTTATGTTTTTCATAGGTGTCAGAGTGTGTGACATGCCAGGCCAGTCAGAATGCAATAAAACAACAAGTGGAATATACACCCATAAAGGTAAGTATAGTTTGTTGTTTTAACATGTAGTTCTCAAACTAGAATAGATGGACCCCCACAACAGTCAAAGTTGCTTATTAATGAAATATATGTATATTATGCTTTATTCCATTTATTTGGAGAAGCACTAGATGTGTCAGTGAAATATGAACTAAAATCTGATAGGAGCAGAGATTAATTTCTAAATTGACTTTAGTCTCCCTGTAGCACAAGGATCAACATGATGGTAAAGTTAGGATACAGCCAGTGTTTAACTACTGAAATTTGTGAACATAACCAAGCATTCCACCACCACAGACTATAATGGCATTCTGTTATTTGCTATATAATTTTCCTCTTCTTTTTAAGGTCACGGAGCCATTTCAGCTGGTTGGGATGGACCGAATAGGGAAATTGGTGACTACAAAACAGGACCATATGTCACTCCCAGCTCCGTCCGATCCTTGTGTGTGTCACGTCCACCTCGTTACCTCGTGTTAATCCCCAATTGTGCTCACCTGTTACCTGTTATTTCGGCTTGTTTCATGTATATTAGTCCACGTCTTCCTTAGTTGGGTGTCCGTCATTGATGTTGGTTCGTTGCCGTCTGCCCCGTGTTGCCTTTAATAAACCCGTTTGTCATTGGATCATCACCTTCCTGCCTCATCCTTCCCCACGATTCTGACACCATAAATATATATGTGTCCTTGTTAATTATTACACCAAGTGGTCACAAGCCTACCCCCTAAAGTCAAAATGTGCAGACGAAGTGACCACGTGCCTTTTAAAATTCGTGTACCAGTTTGGGGCTCAGAAAAGAATCCTGACTGATCAAGGAAGGAAGTTTGTAAATGCGGTAAGTTGAATTGATCAAATAATTTACTTTAATGCAGAGAGAATATGATACTTAAATTGCAAACATATTCCTTATTGTACTGTCTGTACACTTTTTTAGCTTTATTACATAATAATTTTTATTAACAGATCAACAAGCGAGTCTGCACAAAACTTGAAATAAAAAGAAGTTTGTGCTCTCCTTATCATCCGCAAACCAATGGCTTGGTGGAGCGGATGAATGGGACTATCCAAAGGTTGGGAAAATGCATCTTCATTGTTTTTACCTTTGTGACTTCAAGTGTTGTTTATGAGTAACATGAATCGTCATTTTAAAGGTATTACAAAAATATTTTCAGTAAGCATTGGTTTCAAACATTAGCTGTTATATTTTGATTTTGATTTAACAAATACACCTATTAATGTTTTGCCAAATACTTTTGCAGAACTCTAAGCAAATTAGTGGGAGAAAGACCAGATACATGGGACGAGTATCTGGACGCAATTATGCTTGGATTGCGCACTAAAAAAAAAAAGACAACGAAATTCTCCCCGTACTTCCTCATGTTTGGAAGAGAGGCCCGCTACCCTACTGAGGTGCCAGAAAAATGCCAGGTTAGACTATAAATGTTAATTAATTTTCAATTAATTATAATTAATTATTTCTCACATAGCTCAGCTGATGTGTTCTGAGACTGTCTATTTATGCAAAGAACTGTTTGGTTTATAGGTGGACAATGCAGTGGAGTCAAGCATTGGTGAGGAGATAGTAGAGTGTGTGAGACGCCTGGATGAATTGAAAAATGCCATCCATGACAATGTTGCAAAGGTTTTAAGGCTGAAGTCCGGTGCACAAAGGCACCATTTCAAAGTTGGTGACCGGGTGTGGAGGCAGAATATAAGGAGCCAGCAGAGGAAAGGTGGCAAGCTGGATGCCAACTTCCTAGGGCCCTATATAATAACTGAAATACAAGGCAAGAATGTCAGTCTGCTGGGGGAGAAGGGTGGTGTTTATCATCAAGTTAATATGGATCATCTGAAACTGGCCAAAGAGGAGACGCCTTGTATCCCTCACAAGATTTGCATAAAAGGTCTGTCCCCCACACCAGCAAGCCAAACCTCTGTTCCATTTCATGCAGCCTCTCTTGACTACAGTTCTAGGGCTATCAGGTCCATTATGTTCATCTGCCCCTTTTGCCTCACCAGCAGATTTGGATTCAGCCTCACATCCAGCCTTGCCTCCTGCCTTGCCTGTGGCATCACCACCGACCTCACCTCCTGCTACTCCTGCCTCGCCTGTGGCCTCACGTCCTGCCTCGCCTGTGGCCTCACCTCCAGTCTTGCCTCCTGCTTCGCCTGTAGCCTCACGTCCTGCCTCACCTGTGACCTCACCTCCAGCCTATACAAAGGATTCAATTGAGAAATGTACATTTTAGTTTCTCTAAAATGCATTGCAAATAAACATTTGTAAAAATGTTATGTCTAGCTTGTTTTCAAGATTTATATTCGTTTTAAGTAATTAAGAGAATTATACACTATTTGTTTATGTTTTTTGCAGATGTGCATGATGCCTGGACAAAGACCGATGTCCATGTTCTACTTTCAAGGATTGGACTGTGTAAAATGTTTTATTGGGACATTGGACGAATCCGTCCCATTCAGGAGCTTGAGAGTGAGGTATTTGGTGTTTTATTGTTTTATTGTTCCTGAATAGGTTTACTGTATCACAGTGATGCAATTGAAACTATCTTGAAAGTATTTTCATAACATACATACATGTTTTTTTTCCTCAACTATGCCTATTTATGGTGGGCATATTATATATATATATTTATTTATTTATTTTTCCCTGCAAAATACCTACACTCTGTACACTAGGTCATATAAATCTGTGAAAAGGTTAGATTTCATTTCCTGCCCATACAAATACTGTATTGATGCCATAAGTAATATAATTTGTTTTTGAAAACTGTTTATGTCAGGGGTGGGCAACTCCTGAAAATCCTGGAGGCCTCTCTGCTCATACACGCCTGATTCAACTCACCAGTTACTTACTTAATTCATTAGATGTGTCAGACCTGGGAAATCAGCAAAATGGGCTGGACTGCAGCCCTCCAGGACCAGAGTTCTCCACACCTGACTCATATAAGAAGTATTTTTACAAATTATGCAACATAAGAGGGCATAACAGAGGGAATATTTACACACTCACCAGCATTGGTAGGAATACATTTGAAACAATTTATTTGTTCTTTTTCTGTCTTCTTATTCTCTCTACTTGAAGGTGTTGCCTAAACAACTTAAACAGAAGATTAAGTAAGAAGCATATGGATTATATTTTAAATAACTAATAGTAAAACGGCAGGTTAATAATGAGCACAATTTGGACATTATATCTAGTAGTTCAAATGTCATTTCTAATGTGACCATGAACCCGAAAAAAGTGCCCTTTCACATATGACATATGCTGTAATTCTCATTACTAATAAAGTTATTTAAATATCACTCCTCAAAAATGAAAACTCCAAATAATGTAAATAGACAACTAAAAAATTGATGTAGATTGACTAAATTGTTATGGTTTTCATATGTACCGGTAAATATTTGCTTTAAATTTATAGAATTGCTTTATAGAAATGGGGTGTATCGAAGACAAAGTTTAATATTGTGACTTTAATATTTCACAAGTAATCAATGGTTACTTAACAATTTTGGTGAGAAGGTACAATAGCAGAAACACAGGCCGTGCCACTTTGATTGACAGCTATGCAATGAATAACATCTGGATGGGTAAAAGATCACGGCTAAAGGTTTGTAGTTGGATTGCTGTGTACAATTTATTGTATTGTAGGTACATTTTTAATGTTCAAATTTTCTAATGTTCAGTACTTTGTTTATACCTTTTTCAGATCAATCCAATGGATTTCAGCATAATTGTAGGGATCATGAATGAGAATTGGATGTTAACAGTGAGTTGCTCATGATCCATCAAAGGTTTTAGATACTGTTTTGAGTCTTCAGATAAATGTCATTCAACTGTTAAACACTTTTTTTAAAAACTCTGGAAAATGGATATGAGGTGTTTATCGCATTAGGAATATGTGCTTCTGAAATTCTGTAGAGGATGGTGCATTCTGTAGCCTTTGCTTTCTCTCCCTTCACCTGGACATTATACGTTTTACCAAAACTCTTTTTGCTCAAGGATTGCTTGATACCATCAAAATGTTCCTGATGAGACTGCCTTAAAAAATCACTGTTCACTGAGTCACTGTTACATGTGTTTAGCACATATATAACTTAATAAAACTTGTTTGGGTTGAAAAGTGTTACTTACGTATAAAATAAAGCAGCATTCTTGGCGTTTCTTCCGCAGGCCATGTACCCAAATGAAAAACGGTCCCTTTTTTTTAGATCCTTTGGGATAGTCTCCAACTAAAATTAAGAAATGCTTGGAGTCGACAAGGTACCTCTTGCTGTAACATTTTCCCCATAATAATAATTATTATTTATGTAATAACATATCATAAAATTGACTAACCTAAATTTGGTGTTCAAGGGCATTCCTGCTCAGCAAAGGCTGCAGTGTTCCAAGGTGGACCTGCAATACTCTCCCTCACAAATGTCAGAAAGACAGCACATCCTGTGGTGTCTTGGCTTTGAAAGTAAGTATTGAATAGTTTTTTCCTTGGGCATTTTGTATTGAAATGAAAATGTTACTTGAGTTTAGAGTAATTAAGTGTTTGTGTACTAACACACTAGATCTTGTCATGAAAAGTCTGATTTTAATAAAATCATTTTCAGTTTGCTGAGAGCATTTTGCAGGGGGAGGATATTAATATCGACACAGACCAAAAGGCAATAGAGAAGCTGAGGCTGGATATTGCCATGACTCTCGTCCGAGAATCTGGTACATGATCAGTGTGACTCTTTTTCTGAAATGTGTTCCTTATTAAAAGGACAGTATAAAACCACGTACCTATTATCTACAGGATGTTTAATATTACACCAGATTTGTTTTTTATGTTATTGATGTATTTACTAAATTGAAGTGTTCGCTATCTTCACAGACAATCTCAGCAACCTCTGCCATTTTTGTGGGTTGAAGGAGTCTGGCAAACTATGGGTAATTTCTACAATATTGCAATACATTAGTGATAAGCTTACTTATAAGATTAATTTATGGAATAATAATGTAGTAAAACAAAAGGTATTGCTTTTCTTTTCATGGGTGTGGATTGAGTATTCAGGGGTCATAGTTGCTGCTGGTTCTAGCTCTAGGAACACAACACTAACTTGACATACGTGTCTAGTAGGGGTGTGCAAAGCAGCTGGTATTTGTATCTGTATTTGTATTTGTTGAGGGGGGAAAAGTATTTGTATTTGTATTCGTATTCGAGTAAAATTCAAAATAGGCGTAAAAATCCAGTTTTTTTGCGTTGCACTTCTAATAATATCCATTATTCTTTAATTATATCCATTAGGCCACTTAAAATTAATAAATTGTTCTACATGGCCGCCCACCTCAATTTTTTGGTGCCGCCTCGATTTTTTTTATATTTTATATTTTTCAATATATGTTTCACCTCAAAAACTGTGGGTGAAAAATCTTGAATGTCAGCCTCGGATTTTTCAATTTGA